GACAAATCTCTTTACACATTATTCTTTCACAATGCAGTCAATTTGACTGCTTTGGGCAATATAGGTATATACTAAGTTTCAGTCTTTCTAGTGTTAATAACCAAAGAAGATTAGAAATTATGAAAGAGGAATATTACTTCAACAAGAAAAGAATTACTTATAGTAAAGCATTAAAAAGAATTGCTACTGGTTGCAATCTTGAATAAAAGATTTATAGATTATTGTCCCCAATATAAACATGAAACATGGTTCTTGTAGAAAAAGGTTTTATCGAAATCGGTTAGAGCATAAAACAATTAGACATGTCGAATCATGTAAAAATTTACATCACTTGTAAACCAAAATTCGTTTGTTTTTTTTATTTCCAATCATTAAAAGCTCATAGCAATATTAACTGATTTTTAATTTATTTTTGAAACTTTCTATATGCATACATATCTTATTTAGCTCTACAAGAAGCATGTGTAAAATTTTTATTGGAGACCTTAATAAACAATTCAAAATTATGTTCTTTACTATGTTATTCGCGACTTAAGGAGTATTCCCACTATATGATATCCTTCCGACAGCTGTCGCATCCGACAGCTCGAAAATCAGGACTGTAGTCGGTAGGATAGAGTATAGGGAAAAGCGTGTAAAAGCAGGGGGTCATGAGCCCCTGGTCGAAAATGACTCCGAATCTGCAGATTGACCGCCCGCTGTTTGGGTTCGACCGGCCGCTTCGTGATCGAAGACCGACAGCTTCCGAGCGAAATGCAAGAAAAGCCAACTCTGCGATTCCTTCCGACAGTTCCTTGTAAATTGTTAGTTAATAATTATTTCAGCCGAGAAAAAGAACGCCAAGCCAAATTATAACGAGAATAAGAATATGATAATACGAATCATTGATGCGAAGCAAATATACGTATATTGTAATTTGCATGATGTTAATAAATAATGTTTTAGCTTTTGGGAACCACATAATATAAACACTCTGTTCACCTCACGTCATTCGCCAAGGATGTACAGGAGAATGGTGGAATGAGAGGAAAAAATGGTTCACAGAACCAATAGAATTTTACATCCTTGGCGAATGACGTAAGGTCAACAGAGTGTTTACATTATGTACTGGAGTACCTGAAGGAGAATGGTGGAATGAGCGAAAAAAATGGTTCATAGAACCAATGAGAAGCGAGGGCGATACTCCAAACAGTATCTTCTCTATGCACATAATATATTGGTTCCCAAAAGCTAAAACATTATTTATTAACATCATGCAAATTACAATATACATATATTTACTTCGTATCGCAGGGTAGGCTTTTCTTGCATTTCGCTCGGAAGGTCGAGTCTCCGTATCGGTCTCTGACCACGAAGCGGGCGGTCGAACCCAAACAGCGGGCGGTCAGTCTGCAGATTCGGAATCGTTTTCGACCTGGGGCCCATGACCCTCCTGCTTTTACACGCATTTCTCTATACCGTATCCTACCGACTATAGTCCTGATTTCGCTCGTTTTCGAGCTGTCGGATCCGACAGCTGTCGGCAGGATATCGTATAGTGGGAATACTCCTTTAAGAATGTATTGGCTATACAGTCAATCCCAAAAGTTGATGTACCTTAGAAAAACGCATTTCCTATAATTAAGAAGAAATCAGACATCAGAAGAACAATGAGTTTGGATGAAAAAGGCTTATTTTTTTAACGTCCAATTGGTTTCTAAACAATAAAAATTGATAGAATTTGTTATATTGTTTATATAAGTACTTTCCTATCACAAATTTTTGCCAGTGAATTCTGCAGACTTTTAACCCTAAAAAATAAAATATTATGAATTTAAAATAAAAAATTTAACTGAAAATCGACACTCACTATGCTCTGATGGTTCAAAAAATATTGTAGAAATAGGATAGGACTCCTCTTATCGATGAGTTTGTAATTTTTTTATTATATTTTAATCAATAACTTTCTTTAAAGTCCATGAATGATGATTATTTTTTTAGAAATTTGTTCATAAAACACTGGCGATTCGATATGACCTTTTTTCAAGAGTTTATCACCGTTTTTTCTGGGTTATTTTCAAGATCAAAGTGAAGTTTTCTTTGGGTTATTGCTGATTACCCTATGAGTAATCACTATAATTTTTCAAAAAACCCATGAATTGATTTAAAATTTTACAGGTAGCTTTTTAATAGTAATAAGAATCTATAATAACAAATTCAATATGCTAGCATCGTTTAAGTATATAGCCTATACATCCTTAATAAAAGCTGGATGACTTAATATATGTTGGACTCATTTGCTTACCAAAAGTTGACTGGGGAAACATACATCACAGGTTACATCGATGCAACCTGTGCATCTATTAGACGTAGTTCTATTCTGCGGACACGCTGAATGACGTTGAGTATTCAGGTTGTCAGTGTTCACGTCTTGCAGCAGGGTACTCATTAATGAATTTATGTTAATGTCGTCGAGAGATTGCGAGGAACCTCGAGAATTCGTGCTGTTCTCCGAAAATGCGGTGCCCGGCGAACTCACGTTCGAACGACCGGATTTCATAGACTGCTCCATCGATTATTCGATATCTGTTAATAAAGATAAAAAATTAAAATTTGAAACTGTATAATGAAATTTCTTATGAATAATGTATTAATTTGCAAGGTACATTAGCACCTTGTTTCGTTCTTGTATTCCAAGGGTTTCTATAAAAATACATGTTGCTAAGGAGAGTCTAAGGTTTATTTGGTGATGGAATTATTCGTGAGACGTACTACTGAATACTAAGTACCAGTTTACAATTTTCGTGATCTTCATGTATGTCTTTTGAAGGGCAAGATTGCAAATAAATGATCGAATCTTTAATTCAAATGTATGCGTGTGTGAAGACCAATTGGCAATTAATATTTACTTTTTGATTCGAGTTTGACTAATTATGAATTACAATTATTTAATTAATTTAATGGAAAGAAATTCGAATTAATGATTGAATTTTAATTGTTAATTAAAGAATACTCATACTGGCGATTGAGATTTAAAGAAGTTTAATGGTTAATTATTAATGCAGCAATTAAAAAATTTGAAACCCTATTGGATTGGTCAATAATATGGGTAAAACGATTGAATTAGGGTTAGGGGTAAGAACACAGATTAAAGCAGAGGACGAGTGCAAAGATTTCGATAAGTAAAGGTATAGATAACGTTTGTCCTAGGATTTACTGAGTTACTGTACTGATAATCAATTTGTCCATTGAACAAAATTTTAGCATAAAATGTCAATGTTTGTATGACAATTCCAATTTAATACAATTTGAAATTAGGCAAGAATTTTTGCACAGACCAATAAATACCTTGGCATTGATGAGATCCTTCTTGAACTGCTTCGTTTAGACAGCTGTCACCAACCGATTCTTTAGTCATTTAATTTAAAAGAATAATTCCGGTTGATGGACCCTCAGTACAAATATGAAAAATTTCTCTTTGGGATTTGATATAGTCGTATCAAATACACAATATTAAATTTAATTGTGTGTATCGATCGTTGACTTAAACTGTTCTCTCATCGAATTCACCTACTCAACTGAATCCCGTTCCCGTTGAAACTCGGGGCGAGTCCCGGTCAGGTCAGAGTTTCCAGATACGATGCGCATGCTTCCCTCTCCACCATCAAATATTGCCCGATTCTCCTCCAGCACATAAGTGAACACGTAATCCTCACTACTACTCACTACTTACTGCTGCTAGATAAAAAATTGGTGACAGAAGGGGACGTATAGATTGTACATATCTTCCCTATCTAAACTCTGGGCTCGGTATCCCGTAGTAACTTCTACCCTCTCCCTTAACCACCCACAGTTATCCACCACCACCTCACTCTACTTCGGGCTTCGTGCAGCTTCGCCAGGCGAGCGAGCTTTCATCGATTAATCGGGAGATACTTTTACTCCCCTCCGAGATATGGGACGCTCCGTACACCTTCTCACGCCCACGAACTGCTACTCCCTACATACAAAGCTTTTCATCTCCTGACCACCCCGTTTTCGTCACCTTTACGCGATTTGACTATTCATATGTCTGCCAGCGAAAATTCGGATAGAGAGAAACCGTCGTATATATCCATTACAGAGAATAATGATATAATCGAAATATCAGATTATTAGACATAAAACATTCTTGAATAACAGTGTATCAAATGTGATGAGGTCAGAATAGAATTATCTTTGTTTAACGCGTTGCATGATATTTCAAATCGTTTCTAGGAATAAAGGCTCGCTCAGGGAGATTTCAGTATGGACCTGAAGTATACTTTGATTATACAGGGTGTAAACCTACTAGTGAGCAATATTTGAGTATTGTATTCTAGGAGTCAAAATAAAACGAAAATCAAGAGTGATAAAATTGAAGTTAAAATTGAAGCTTCATTAATTAGTCATTGACAAAAAAATTAGGCGTTTTTACGCCTGAATCAGGCAATTCGATTTGCATCGTCGTATGAGTGACAGCTGATCGCCGTCGATCGATATACGTCAATACGTCAGAGCAGGCCCGTAGCTGTACTCATCCTATTTGCTTGGAGGCAGAAAATATGTAAGAATTGTACCCTGGCGTATAACTTGAGTACTCGGTAAATCCACAAGAGCATGTCGACATTCTCTCTATAGGATTTTTGAATTAAGAGGGCATACGCCTTTTCGATATGCCACAAACGTTCAACAGCAATACACTTGTATGTGCCTATCCGCTTTTCATCGAGAAATACACACGAACCACGGTATTTGTTATGTTTTCCGTGATTTTTTTCATCTACAGTATCTACTAAACGTAACACTGCAAATAAAAACAAAGTCCACTGAGAAACACACTCATCGTAATTGTTCATATGTATTAAAGTTGTATACATAAAATTCACGCAAACTTAGATATTTTTGAAAGAGTATACATTAGTATAGTTCACATAATTTCGATTTACTTATCTCCACTAGTTTCGAATTTACTTGGATACTTGACAAATATTCGCAAGCACGTGGACGCATATAGCTGCTGTACTACAACAATGTAACTATTTCGATATTGTTTGGCCTTCGCTGATTTCCGTCTACCGTCGGTCGGAGTTGATCAAAGATCAGTCACTAAAGGATCGTTGAATGAAGCGAAATAATCGTGGCCAAGACTAAAAAGCGAAACAAATGCAAATATGTATTCCCTTAAATTTTCTCAACCATGTAAATTATAAATTAGGGAAAATAGTAAACTCGATTTATATGAATTGTGTGAATTTGTAATCTAAGTCAATGCTTTTACGTGAACATTTACTACTTTAATACACATGGAATGTTGACTATTGCAGTGCACGCATGTTTTCTAATGAACTGTTTTTATTCACAGTGAATATGTTATCATTAGTGGATGCTGGAAACGAAGTAATCACTCATGAAATAACAAATGTGGTGGCTTGCGTGTATTTCTCGTTAAAAAGTTACGTAATACGTTTATATGTTTATGACATGTCTATAGAGATGCTTCTCTCATATAATAAAGACGGGAACGAAATAATAATAACTTATACATATATATTTATCTCAGTCTTTGGATAATGTACAGAAAAGGCGACAGCTGTGGTGATGTACAATGCTTGAACTCG